GTAGGTAAGTTTGGGGTGCCAGGTGTAAATGATAATGGGAGCCTTTGATTGAACTTTGTATAAAAAGGGGGTTTAGTTATAGGTAATACATATTTTAAGAAAAAGAGGATAAATAAGTATACACGATATGATGTAGGGCGAAATGACAGTAGTTTGTTGGATTATGTAATTGGTAGATAAAAGACTGTTGAGTGGACTTCAGGATGTACAGTTTATAGAGGGGCCACAGATATATCAGATCACTTTTCTAGTTGTAGCTACACTGAGAGTAAAAGGTAGATGGGATACAAGGAGAATAGAAGCATCGGGGAAGAGAGAGGTGAAGGTTTATAAACTAAAAGAGGAGGCAGTTAGGGTAAGATATAAACAGCTATTGGAGGATAGATGGGCTAATGAGAGCATAGGCAATGGGGTCGAAGAGGTATGGGGTAGGTTTAAAAATGTAGTGTTAGAGTGTTCAGCAGAAGTTTGTGGTTACAGGAAGTGGGTGCAGGAGGGAAGAGGAGCGATTGGTGGAATGATGATGTAAAGAGAGTAGTAAGGAGAAAAAGTTAGCATATGAGAAGTTTTTACAAAGTAGAAGTGATGCAAGGGGGGAAGAGTATATGGAGAAAAAGAGAGAAGTTAAGAGAGTGGTGAAGCAATGTAAAAAGAGAGCAAATGAGAGAGTGGGTGAATGTTATCAACAAATTTTGTTGAAAATAAGAAAAAGTTTTGGAGTGAGATTAACAAGTTAAGAAAGCCTAGAGAACAAATGGATTTGTCAGTTAAAAATAGGAGGGGAGAGTTATTAAATGGAGAGTTAGAGGTATTGGGAAGATGGAGGGAAAAATTTTGAGGAATTGTTAAATTTGATGAAGATAGGGAAGCTGTGATTTCGTGTATAGGGCAAGGAGGAATAACATCTTGTAGGAGTGAGGAAGAGCCAGTTGTGAGTGTGGGGAAGTTCGTGAGGCAGTAGGTAAAATGAAAGGGGGCAAGGCAGCCGGAATTGAGGGGATAAAGATAGAAATGTTAAAAGCAGGTGGGGATATAGTTTTGGAGTGGTTGGTGCAATTATTTAATAAATGTATGGAAGAGGGTAAGGTACCTAGGGATTGGCAGAGAGCATGCATAGTTCCTTTGTATAAAGGCAAAGGGGATAAAAGAGAGTGCAAAAATTATAGGGGGATAAGTCTGTTGAGTGTACCTGTAAAGGTATGGTAGAGTTATAATTGAAAGAATTAAGATAAGAGGGAGAATAGGATAGCAGATGAACAAGGAGGCTTTAGGAAAGGTAGGGGTGTGTGGACCAGTGTTTTACAGTGAAACATATAAGTGAACAGTATTTAGATAAGCTAAAGAGGTCTTTGTGGCATTTATGGATTTGGAAAAGGCGTATGACAGGGTGGATAGGGGGGAAAATGTGGCAGATGTTGCAAGTGTATGGTGTAGGAGGTAGGTTACTGAAAGCAGTGAAGAGTTTTTACGAGGATAGTGAGGCTCAAGTTAGAGTATGTAGGAAAGAGGGAATATTTTTTCCCAGTAAAAGTAGGCCTTAGACAAGGATGTGTGATGTCACCGTGGTTGTTTAATATATTTTATAGATGGGTTGTAAGAGAAGTAAATGCGAGGGTTTGGCAAGAGGCGTGGAGTTAAAAGATAAAGAATCACACACAAAGTGGGAGTTGTCCCCAGCTGCTCTTTGCTGATGACACTGTGCTCTTGGGAGATTCTGAAGAGAAGTTGCAGAGATTGGTGGATGAATTTGGTAGGGTGTGCAAAAGAAGAAAATTAAAGGTGAATACAGGAAAGAGTAAGGTTATGAGGATAACAAAAAGATTAGGTGATGAAAGATTGAATATCAGATTGGAGGAGAGAGTATGGAGGAGGTGAACGTATTCAGATATTTGGGAGTGGACTGTCAGCGGAGGGGTCTATGAAAGATAGGTGAATCATAGAATTGATGAGGGAAAAAGAGTGAGTGGTGCACTTAGGAGTCTGTGGAGACAAAGAACTTTGTCCTTGGAGGCAAAGAGGGGAATGTATGAGAGTATAGTTTTACCAACGCTCTTATATGGGTGTGAAGCGTGGGTGATGAATGTTGCAGCGAGGAGAAGGGCTGGAGGCAGTGGAGATGTCGTGTCTGAGGGCAATGTGTGGTGTGAATATAATGCAGAGAATTCGTAGTTTGGAAGTTAGGAGGGTGTGGGATTACCAAAACTGTTGTCCAGAGGGCTGAGGAAGGGTTGTTGAGGTGGTTCGGAACATGTAGAGAGAATGGAGCGAAACAGAATGACTTCAAGAGTGTATCAGTCTGTAGTGGAAGGAAGGCGGGGTAGGGGTCGGCCTAGGAAGGGTTGGAGGGAGGGGGTAAAGGAGGTTTTGTGTGCGAGGGGCTTGGACTTCCAGCAGGCATGTGTGAGCGTGTTTGATAGGAGTGAATGGAGACAAATGGTTTTTAATACTTGACGTGCTGTTGGAGTGTGAGCAAAGTAACATTTATGAAGGGATTCAGGGAAACCGGCAGGCCGGACTTGAGTCCTGGAGATGGGAAGTACAGTGCCTGCACTCTGAAGGAGGGGTGTTAATGTTGCAGTTTAAAAACTGTAGTGTAAAGCACCCTTCTGGCAAGACAGTGATGGAGTGAATGATGGTGAAAGTTTTTCTTTTTCGGGCCACCCTGCCTTGGTGGGAATCGGCCAGTGTGATAATAAAAAAATAAAATGTTTTTCAATAGTGATAGTAGTAGTATCGATATTCGAAAGGAGAGAAAGATCACGAGCTTGGGTAGCATTCTGGACAGTGATGATGCGCGTACCGCTCTTGAAAGCATGAAATGAAATATCTCTACCAACATAACGCAGGAGCGCTTTGCCAATACTATGGTCAGAAAGGTAGGCAGAAGAAGAAGTCGGTCTTAAAGTAAAGAATTTAGTCCATTGTGTGGTCTGAAACTGAGCGTGGAGAGGGAGTGCTTGACGTGTCGGTCTTTTCCGAGTAGAATGGGAAGGTAACGAAGGAGCATCATCAGAAGATTGACGTTGGCGTTTAGGAGTAGGACCGGAGTTGGTCCGGCGTGAAATGGGCGGGCGATTCGAAAATTGCCGTACCATAGAGGGAGAAGCTGGAAGCACAAAGGAGAGTGGAGTTGAGACAAATTGAAGGAGTCAGTCGAAGCCCTGATACCTGAAGCGGGTGAGGAAACAGCACCAGCAAGAGGTACAGGGGCATCAGGAGTGTCCGAAGAGTGGTCTAAACACAAGGCAGGGTCAGAATGGGGTGCGGTATCAAGAAGGGGCCCGGGGGTAGTGGGTTCATGGATTGGGTTCTCCATGGTTAGGTTACTCCTTTGCTTTTTGTTTTTAAGAAAAAAAAGAAATAAAAAAATAAAAAAAAAAAGAATAAAAAAAAGGGGGGAGCGGGGAGGAATAGTTCCCAGTAGGAATGAAAGGGCCGGAAATCTCCCTCCGCGCCCAAGAGGACCTCAGCACCGCTAGTAGTGCAGATGCAGCATGGAACCCGTGCCATACCCTACCCTTCATGCCAGTAAACCAGCAATCCGGGATAGCAACCTCACATCTGCCGAGCTACCTCAGTGGACAAAAGAGAGGGCGGCCGGATATCCGCCACAAAGCATACCTCCTTCGGCCACCACCCCCGGAATCCGAAAGGTGGCTTCCAGAGATACACCCGTCGCCCGAAAGACACCCAAAGCTACTCCGGGATACCGGAGAGGGATCGGGACATCCCCAGGCGATCCAGATTCCACGGCAAACTATGCCACTGCCAAGAACCTCAACGGAATGGGATGGACCCCGGTGTCCTTTCCCCTACCTAGGAACTAGCGCGCCTGTGGGAGAAATCCCAAAGGCCAAAAAGAGGAAGGGCAAAAGGGAGGGTGGGGAGGAGGAGGAGGAATGGAAAAAGGGGAGGATGGGATAGGGGAGGGGAGATTGGGGGGTAATTAGGTTCAGTCTGAGGAAGAAGACCGACAGGTCTAATTCCTCAGACCAAGAGCCTCTTCACCACGCCAAGGAGCCCCCCTTGAAGAGGGACATTAGGATAGCAGAACACAAAAATGCTTGCAGAAATGATGACCGCAAAAACGCATGTGTTCAACATAGGGACGATGTTGGACACCTCATGAAATTCAATGAAGCTAAACTAGTGATTAAAGACGACGACTTAAGACGGAGAAAATGCATTGAAGCTGCACTAATTTCTGTCAGTAACACTATGAAGCAAAAATCCGGTAGTTACAGTATTTCAAAATTACTAAGCAAGAGGATATTACCCATCCTGGGAACTGGCATTACATGATGCCAACAGGTCCCTCTCTAGCATCACCTCCTTAGTTCCACTACTACTACCACCTCTACCCACGCGTCCCCTCACCTGACTCCTGCCACTATATATATATGTTTTCTTAGTTTTCTCTGTATTAGGACTGAAGAAGCCACTCATGGCGAAACGTTTCCTTTAATAAATGTCCTGAACTGTACATAAGTGTCTTTTTTCCACACAATATATTTATATTTTAAAAATTTGTTCATGCTTGCAATTACTCAGATTGATGCAAATAAAGTTACAAATTTAAATTATTTTTGTTTCATTAAAGCTTTTAGGCTTCTCACGCTTGATCCTTGTTTTTTCTTATATAACTAAATCCGCAAATAAATAACAAAAAAGGCACAATACCGTGACTGGAACGATACACAAATAACCCGCACATAAAAGAGAGAAGCTTACGACGACGTTTCGGTCCGACTTGGACTGAAACGTCGTCGTAAGCTTCTCTCTTTTATGTGCGGGTTATTTGTGTAACTAAATCCGCCACTGGACAGGGATGACATGACATAACAAAGAATGAGATTTTTATATCTTCATTATATTTATAGTTGCGTTAAGCCCACTTGGGTCATTCAGCATCAGGAATAATTTGTTCTGTTTAGTTACCCTACTATATATGAAAATTTTCTATTCGATACAATACAGATTCCGAATCGTTTTGCGCTTACCTACGAACCAACATTTTGTCTCGATAATGAAGGGCTTGATAATGCCTGGTACATTATCTGGTGCTAGGTACTGCATACATGTTGTAATAATTCTGCAAAGTGGTGAAGAGGTACGGTATTAGGTAATATGTAATATTACAAGATGAAATTAAGACATGTGCAACATCTGGGTATTTTATTGTAGACATTTCACCATCCATGGCTTTATCAATACAAATTCCAGGACTTTAACTTGAAGACAGTAGGACTACATACAGAAAATGAGGTAATCAGTCCCTCAACCTAGGAGTAGGTGCGAAGATTACCTCATTACCTGATTACCTCATTTTCTGTATATAGCCCTACTGTCTTCAAGTTATGTCCTGGAATTTGCATTGATAAAGCCACTGGATGGTGAAACGTCTACAATAAAGATACCCAGATGTTGCACATGTGTCTTAATTTCATCTTGTCGGTATTATATACCATTCTTGCACATGTATAGTACAAGCTGAAGTGGTGTCACTCTTCTGCTTAACACTGCTTCATTATAGAAGATATAACAGTTGTGAACTCGAGGAAAGTCCTACAAACCCAATCACGAACGGTCTCCAAAGCATAAAGTGGTAGATCCAAACTGGCATATAAGTAGCGGGAAGATATCTGCTCAGGCTCCTGTAGGAGAGGTGGCGATTGTCAAATGTCACCACAATAGTATTTACCAAGATAGGAAAAGGGTTTGTGCCTTGAAGCTAGTAAAAGGATGCTAACTCAAGAACTGAATAAACTGATTACTCACCACACTAAATAAATAAATAAAAAAAAAAAAAAAAAAAATATATATATATATATATATATATATATATATATATATATATATATATATATATATATATATATAATATATATATATATATATATATATTTTACAGTGGTCCTCGTTTTTCGTAATTAATCCGTTCCTGGAGGAGCTACTACAAACGAAATTTACGATTTGCGAATCAATTTTTCCCCATAAGAAATAATGTAAATACAATTAATCCGTTCCTGACACCCAGAAGTATTAAAACAAAATTTTTTTTACATTTAATATACATGTAGTACATAAACAATACAATAGAAATGATGAATGAAACATTAACAGCATAAAAACTTACCTTTATTGGAGATTCTTCTTAGTGTATGGGAGACTGCAGGAGGAGAGGATTGGATTGTTTACAGTTTTGGAAGGGGAATCCCCTTCCAGCAACACCTCAGGTACCAATTGCTTCTCTGGGGTTGCTTCTCTTCTCTGTTTCTCAATGCCACTAGGACCACCTTGAGAGTCACTCTAGTCCTGTCTCGCAAAGTAACTGTGGAGAGAGCTCTGTTTCTGGCGTCTCTTTAACACTTCCCTAAAATGGCCCAAGACTTTGTCACTGTACATATTTCTCACCTTCTTTACCACAGGCTTGGCACTAGGAGCTTCTTTGGAGCCATGGTAGTCTATTTAGTACTTGCAAGTACTAAAATAAGTGGAATATTATGAAATATTTCGTAAGAGCACTTGAGGGGACCTTCACTCACTGGTAAACAATGCCAGACTGGCTGGGTAGGGAGGCCGCCTTGGCTCACACCGTGCGTACGCGTCCCGGACGAACTACTATTTGCGAGTCAACCTATGAAAAGCGAGTCCATGTTTATATGAAAATACCCCTATGATTGGCGAAATTTACGATTGCCGAGAACTATGAAAAGCGAGGGACCACTGTACACACACACACACATATATATATATAAAATATATATATATATATATTATAAATATATATATATATATATATATATATATATATATATATAATAATGATAAGCAATCAGGGTTCATTCAGCTTGAGTTAGAGTAGAAAGGGTGGGTGTTCTTGCCATTTTTAATTTCCAAAAACAGGTCATTCAAATATCATTATGACAAAAATTAGCTTCAGTAATAAATCCAAACCTAACTAAGCAAACTTACCTAACTTTCTCCAGACTTCGAAGCACAGAACACTAAGCCAGAAGAATGCGGGAAGATATCCAAGTTGCATGGCGAGTGCTGTGAAAAAAAAAAATCAGAGGTTATATATTTTATCCAAAACTAAACATAATTACAAATATATTAGTTCTAAAATTATATCTTCATTACACAATATAGCACAGTACAATAAATGCAGCATTTTTAACTGTTTATTATTTGTGAAAGCACAATGGATCGAAGTGCAAATTTGGCATAGTTAGATTTGCTGGAGAGAAAATAAATACGAAACAATAAAATTTTGAATATATCGATTTAATTTACACACATTGAATTCTCCAGAGTTAAACAACAAAAAATGCTGCATCATTTACAATGCAGTAGACCGTTTACGTAAACAGATCGTACGGCACTGATAGTAAGGCTGGATGCTCACTGTAGAGGTTCATACAGTGCCAAGGGAATGGTAGGTTATAGTCTGATTCAGAGAGGGTAACTCAAATTCCTTGGAACAAAAGGTCTTAGCCAGTATCAGGAAGCCCCCGTGAAAGAAATATAAGCGAGATCAAATTAATTTTTGTGGTCGTTAGTGCAATAGGCTCGTATAGTAAATTGTGGTTTTGAGAGAATTAACCAATCTGGTATACTTTTTAATGCTCTGGTAAACCAAGACCTCTTCAACATTATGAAATATATTTGCATGCACCTATGAATATACTACGAATTAATCAAACTTGGAAAGTAATTTAAATGTTAAGTCAAAATGACAAAACTGTTCCTAAATAAATTCTATAAAACGTACAATCGAAAGAAAAACTTACCTAGTATTATACAAGTTAGGTCATCAGCCTCTCTCAAGATTACCTGTGTTACGTTACAAGAATAGGCTAGCATGAGAGAGAGCACATGCCAGAGCTGGTACCAGCCACCATTCTTGAGAAGTTCTGGAACCTTGAAGTAACATGTAACTGTCAGAAACATAAAAACCAGCGAAATAATCTGACACGCAGGAATAAGTGTTTTGCGAATTTTGTCCCATTCTGAATCCACACTCAGACAAACTAAACCAGTTTTTTTTAGCTTTTCCCTGCCATCGTCGAACATATCAATACAGTAGTCGGTAGGGGGTAAAATTCTCCCTTGGTAAATAAGATGTCCCGTCCCGTCCAGAGTAAAGTTTGTGACATTCGTTGCTGACGAACAGAGCGCCATTCCTATCACCGTCTTGTATGGCTGTGTGATGCTGATGTTGATGGCTGGTGTAAATGTTATATTATAACGAATACATCGGTATGAAACGTCCAGTATTTGTCCAGAATTACAACACTTGCGCACACAAATGTTACCATCACAAATTTTGTGGTGGTGTTCTTGCGGGTTACTGTAACACAAGTTGGCTGTGTATGTAAGAGATCCATCCAGATTCTCCCGTCCATCTACACAAAATTCCGGAGGATACGTGTATTTTCGTTCGGCTGTGTCCTCAGATAACACCCAGGTGTGTATGACACCTGTTGGGAGGGCTACTAGGTGGGATACTTCAGAGCCCAATAACAATGTTTTCATAGGATCCTCGTGCAGTTGAGTGGGTTGTAGTGGTTTCTGATAACTGGCCACTGGACGCTGTTCTTGAAGAGCCCAGCAGACAGTGGAGGCAACAGTAGAGGTGGAGATGGTGTTATGCTACACACACCATCACTGAGAGCTTCACCAACGGGGCAGCAACGCGGTATAGAGGGAGGGGGGACACACGCCTTTAGTATCGATGCGAGATTCCCCTTCTCGTCCAAAGAATGGCTGACACAATAGTTGTTGATGCGCAAACCACTCAGATAACCAGCAGTGTCTGAGAGCACAATGTCTCCGCGAGTTCGAAGGTAAAACTGCCCTTCTGTAAACCTCATTTCTCTATGGTCGTCCTCCACACTGCAGTATAGATCTTGCACAATAACATTCAGCTCAGTAACCGATTTCTGTAAATACAAGAAATATTAGCATAACATTAGAAAAACTGCTTCATTAACAAGAAACAAGTGCAGTACTAACATGCCTACACAAAATATTATGTACGTACTTTATATATGCTATGTTCTTGGCGTGGCTAGCTAAAGTTAAGTTATTAGCAATAGTTCAAATTATGCTGAGTCTGTTCCAATAAATTCAAATCACTTAATGCCAAGGATGAAGATGCCAAAACAGCCAATATTAGGGCCTCCAATGAATTAATCCTTAATTTTCATTTTAATAACCCATTCTATCCATAGTCCGACTACGTTGGATCGTCTGACCACAAGGCTGTTTTTACGACACTTAAGATCCCAACAGAACGAGGTGAGGAGTCCACACGCACAACCTGGCTATGGGAAGGAGGTAATTGGCCAGCCCTTTGCTCTGAGCTCGCCACCACCGATTGGAATGCTCTTCTCCAAGGGGATGTTGACAACCAAGTGAAAGCCTTCACTGGACACATCCTTAATCTACAACAAGAACACATTCCTCACCGGCAATATGTGACGAAGCCTACAGATCAGCCTTGGTTTGGCTTTCGTTGTAGAGAGGTTGCTACTGCTAAGTACAAAGCATGGCGAAGGTATAAGAGACATCCTACCACCTATAACAGGAACTTGCACACGCAAGCCTGTAGGCATATGGGTGATGTTCAAAATTGAGCCATTGCTAAATGGGAGGTGGACACTAAAAGAAAGCTAGCATCAGGTAGGGTAGGCTCCAAAACCTGGTGGTCTCTGGTCAAGGACAGACAAGGTTATCTGCCTGATGAACTTATTCTACCTCTAAATCGACAGGATGGGACCACCTCTACTAGTAGTCAAGAGAAGGCGGACCTCTTTGCTGAACACTTTGCTACCAAAATGCAAGTTTCTGATCCAGCAAGGAACCCTCCTTGGCTAGCTGCAAGAACTGTGTCAAAACTGTCAGTGGTGACAATAAGGCAGGAGGAGGTGCACTTCCTTCGTAAATCGCTTGACCAAGAAAAGGCTGTGGGCCCAGACAAGTTGAGCCCAAGATTGTTGAGAAGATGTGCAGACCAGCTAGCAGCACCTCTAACTCGCATCTTTCAGCACTGCCTAGTACAGTGTAAATGGCCCTCTCTATGGAAAGAGCAGAGCAGAAATCAGCAACTACAGACCAGTGTCACTCCTGTCAATCACTGGTAAGATCCTTGAGACAATAATCTCAAGACAAATGACAGAGTTTTTTGACTACCACTCACTTTGTGATCGTCAATATGGCTTCAGGAAAGGTTACTCTGCTGCTGATCTGTTATTAAACCTCTCCACTAAGTCGCACCAGTTACTGGATGAATCCAAAGTCAGCTGTGTGGTAGCACTGGACATTGCTGGCGCTTTCGACCGGGTGTGGCACCAGGGCCTCTTAGCAAAACTTCAAGCACTGGGAATTGCAGGCTCTACGCTATGTCTCCTCAGTGATTACCTTCATGGTAGATCTCTAAGTGTAGTTCTCAATGGAACGGAATCAGCAAGACATCCTATTGGGGCAAGTGTTCCACAAGGAAGCGTGCTGGGTCCATTGTTATGGAATGTCTACTTCAACGACCTTCATCTCATCCCAGAATCACATGCATATGCAGACGACTGTACACTGACATTCACTTATCCAAAAAGAAGAAATGCCAGCTGCTCTAAGCTACATCAATCACCAGCTGAGAGCTATATCAGCTTGGGAAATAGATGGCAGGTAACATTTGCACCTGAGAAAACGCAAATGATGATCGTCTCTAGCACCATGATGGTAATGCTGGTGCAGTAGAAAGGATGAATGGGAGGGTGTTGGCACCTGGAGAAGAAGTTGATATCCTTGGGGTGAAATTTGACTCCAAACTAACCATGAAGAACCATGTTGTAAATCTTGCAAACAAGGCAGCCAGGAAGCTTACAGCACTTCGCCGTACCCTCGCATCTGCTTGACAGTAGGGTTGCAAGATCCTGTACGAGGCGCAAGTACGCTCACACCTTGAGTATGCTCCACTTTCTTGGTTTGCCTGCCCCCCCCCCTCTCATCTGCGACTGCTTGACAGAGTAGAGAACAGAGCAAGACGTCTCATCTCTCGCCTGGACCCATCTTGGATAGATCTGTCATTTCAGCAGAGCCTTCAACATAGGAGGGATGTGGGGCCTTACTGTTATGTACAAGGCCAATATTGTCAAAATACCACACTTGATCCACTTCGAGGACAGCATGAAACAAGCTTTTATGCCACAAGACGGGCAGAAAGCAGCAACTTCACTCTGGCTGTACCGTTCTCCAGTAACATCACTCCATCTGAGATCATCCCATACCCAGGATGACTCGAGTATGGAACACATTTGTACAGCATAATGATGTCAACGAGATAAAGTCAGTTGACCAAATGAAAATGCTGGCCCACAGATGGCTCCAACTTCATCCTGTTCCCTACTTGTATGTCTCATAACAATAAAAATGCTTTCAAATGAGCTGATGTAGGTAACAGCTCTTAGCTTGCCAATAAAGTTAGGAATCCTTAACCTGTAAATAGCTTGTCAATAAAGCTAGGGATCCTTAACCTTGTCAAACCCTGTGTAAAAAAAAAAAAAATTGTAGAGCGTTTATGAGGCTTCCATTTCATGTGACACGACAGGCCGGTAGTAACTCCCTGGATGGTTATCTACCAACCTATTATCATTCACAAATTCAAGCAAGGGCTACAACAACTGTTTACAAGCAGGTGGTGGTGGGAGTACTAATGCTTACAATTCGGAGAAGACGACTTATTGCTTAAGAGTGAATTCAGAGAAGCATGTATTTATTAATACTCATGGAATCTTACTGTGCCTGGGAAACGAGAGCAATCAAGTTCCACCCAAGGAAGGAGAGGGCAGGTCCATTTCCTTGAATCAAGAACTCTTCGCCGTTGTTAATTACCCTCCCTTGATAGGTCTTCAGGAAAGAGCAACAATTTGTTATTTACGAGTTTGGGGATTAGATGATAAACATGTTTAAAAGCTAACGTAGGGGATACAGGCGTTCACGATTCAGGGATACGAGCTATTAATGGATAATTACAAATAGATAATTAATAATTAAATGATCACAGTACAGAGACACGAGCTACCAACAGATAATTACAAATAGATAACTGTTAATAATTAAGTGCTATTGCAAGCTAATTATATAGCAATTGCAGTCTCACCTCAAAGATGGATGCCTCGATATCAACTAAGATGGCTTTTGGGAATGGTTGGCACCTTCCTCCCATCAGAACTTCCTGGGGACCACAGTAGCACTGAACCAGCTGGCCCTCCCGCTGCGGTATCATCGTCTTATTGCCTGAGCTCAGGACTCCAGCCTGTGTCAATGCTGCGGTGCTCATGGTCACTTGTGAGGTGCTTGTGTTGCCGTCCCTTTGTGGGGCACTTGTGCTGACGTCCCTTTGTGAGGTGCTTGTGCTGACGTCCCTTTGCGGGGTGCTTGTGTTGACGTCCCTTTGTGGGGTGCTTGTGTTGACGTCCCTTTGTGGGGCGCTTGCGCTGACGTCCCTTTGTGGGGCGCTTGTGTTGGCGTCCCTTTTTGGAGAGCTTGTATTGACGTCTCTTTGTGGGGAACTTGTGTTGGCGTCCCTCTGTGGGGCGCTTGTATTGACGATCCTTTGTGGAGAGCTTGTGTTCTGGTGTTCTTGAGGGGCGCTAGTGTTCTGGTGTTCTTGAGGGGCGCTAGTGTTCTGGTGTTCTTGAGGGGCGCTAGTGTTCTGGTGTTCTTGATGGACACTTTTGTCATAAGTAGAATTCAAGTATGTCAGCTCTTGCGTCATGATTTGTGTGCTGCTGCTTCGGGGATCAGGAATGGGAGTGGGGAGGGTAGGGGCGGTGGTGGGAAGGTGTGAGGCTATGTTGAGGAACTGTGAGGCTGCTGGAGAGAGACTTTCTGGCAACATGGTTGTTGAAGAGCCCACCTGCAGTACTAATGTTGGAGAATACAGCTCTCCAGCAAACACCAGCATCAATACTGCCACGCTAAGTTCCACCATCTTCACAGCTAACTATAAACTTCAACGTCCTCGCATGAAGTTTAGAACTATGCCACTGCCACGAAGAACTGCCAGATATTCGTCAAATCGAAGTCACCATCCTCTTTACGCAAAGTTAGGAGTTCGCATTAGGGATAAATCTACACGTATTCAATTGTGATACAATTCCTATATGACTGCAGTGGGGAATAACCCATAAACAAAAGCCGTAAAACCAAAAGGCTCTCCCAAAAAAATGGTAGCACACGATGGGGAGGACAGCGTGTGAATGGGCTCTACTCCCTCACACTTGCTGGACAAATAGATTCCCCCAGATGCCTCTTCGTGTTTTCTGACATTTATATGCAGCCATTCCCCTTACTAACAACTTCTCAGAAACACTTACACAATGTAGTTAAGCTGACTTATGATAGCTCATTGCAGTGTCATACTCATTATGACCTCAGATATTAAAGTAATATTGAGGGTCATCACAATTTCATTTGAATGACCAGGGTTCGAAAACGAGGAAACGTTGCGAAGGTTTCCTTGTACTTGTTGCCCTTATTCGCTTAGCATTTGGAGTTGCATCCTGGGGAAGGGGATCAAATTGCCCACATGGAAATAAGCTATACGCACTTTCTTGGGCTATCCTAGAGACTAACCCTCCAAGTTAATAATCCAAATAGATTCTTCAAAGTTAATTAACTACTATGCAACTAGCAGTGTGCTATGATGTGATATTATGTTCCTGTTTTATCATAAATATTAGATATACAGAACTGTGTGGCTACCCTCATTTAACATTGTCAGGAGTCAGAGCAAGAACTTTTGCCACTCCCATCCGGCAGTATAATTTTCCTTTCGTACTCTAATTACACCAAATGGGTTATATATATATATATATATATATATATATATATATATATATATATATATATATATATATATAAATATATATATATATATATATATATATATATAAAATATAATATTCATGGGATTGTGCTACACCCATAAAGATTGTATAGCACCTGGGAAATGTGGAGATAATTAAAGGGTTTACACGTAAATGTTCCCCGAGGTCCCGACAAGCGTCCTGGTAATTACAAAAATCATGAAGCCAAAAGGCCCTAAGCCATAAGAGCAAATTGCTAAAATGTGTTCCACAGTGAGATGTTTGCCAGAAAGCTACACACACAGGGACAGGAGAACCTGCAAACAAGTGACTATGGGTGAGACGTGTGCACCCGACCTTCCCTCGACAGGGGGATGATTCCTCCTGAGGGCCAACACCTACTTCCTGCCAAACCCTATATAACTTTCTACTAGTCATTGCCCCGAGGACATATTGCTCGTGAAATCACTTTAAGGCTAAAGTTTGTTATACAGTGGGTTCGCTACGACAGCGTTTGACTCGGCATCTGCTAGTTCATTTCCCGTGACACCAACATAGCCTGGCACCAGAGCTCCACATCCTTGTGCAACGCATGGAGACAAGCCGACCACACTTGGCTCTTTTGGACCAGACTGGAGAGAAGCATACTGGACCAGGATACACAGAGCACATTGGAAATTTGAGCATGCAGCTAGCCGAGAATCAATTAAGCCAGCTTTCAGGACAAAAGCAGCGAGGATTGGTGGAGCTGCAAAGTGAAAGTAGACTGCACATTAAAAATCCTCATTGACAATCACAGCAAAGCCAACAGCAGACTCGCTCTTTGACCCGTCAGTAAAGACTTTTTACCCTTTAAGCATGAACTTAATCATGCTCCAAGAAATTACCCAAGGATCGACACTTAGGGGTCCTCATCCACTGCCGACAAAGACGCACCTCAAGTACCATCCAAGGAGGGAAAAGCGAGAAGCCAACCTCTGATCAGACACATCAAGGCAACAATCCAGGAGAGGGACCCGCATCCAAACACCAAACTACACAGGAGCCTGGCACGATGATCATAAGGCTTTCTTCTCTTCTCTTAAAGATAGCAGCCTAAATCGGGTTGCCAGGAGCACACCCAAATCGATCAGGTAGTTCAGGCCGGAGGGCTCGTCTACAAAGGGAGCAATGAGGGAAAGACTCACTTCATACTTAAACATATGCTTTTCATGACAGGGAGAAGAAAGACAGTAGGGGAAGGATAAAAAACGTTAAGAAAGCAATATTAAGTTTTGTATAACGAGGAATGTTTAGAAGGGAGGGAGGTGGAAAATGAAGGAAGTTAAAGATGAAGATGGGCCCAACTTATAACCATTTTCACATGCTTTATAATACATTACTAAATATTCATGTAATAAAAATAACTTATTACTTCGGCGTCAGAGAGCACGACCAGGTACGTGTGGCAAAGGAACAATAAAAACGTAATGAACACAAATAACTTAAAGAATCCGCGGTCATAGATTCAATGTCTCTTCGCTTTTACATAAGACCATATGCACAATTATATTCAATGACAACTGGTTCTTCTCACCATAAAGTCAGGTCTGTGACACAATGCAGTTTTTAATTACAATGGTCCACACCATTGGGGTGAGGGCCGGTAACTTCGAAGGTGTAGATATCCAATGAATTATTGGGCTGCCATAGTAGCATCGCACGGCAGTTTAGACTCTATGACGCGTTCTGGCCGGGTAGCGAACATACTGTCACAAAAGCAACAGAGGGAATGCTATCATGTATACAATCTTTCTTGCCCTTATGATGCCTTGTTTGCATAATCTGCGTCTTATATTTTTTAAAGTAATTTCAAACCCTAAACTGCATAATTCTATGGGTTGAACATAAAATGGTTCTCGGTATTTACACGCCTTAAGAAACATAAGAAAGAAGGAACACTGCAACAGGCCTACTGACCCATGCGGAGCAAGTCCATGTCCCCCCCCCCGGATTAACCCAATGACCCCCCCCGGATTAACCCAATGACTCCCCCCCCCGGATTAGCCCAATGAATAAGAAAATGTTGAATCATTTCTAGTTTCTAAATTCAGACATTACAATAACCTTTGTGTGGAGCCAGGAGTCTTCCTAGAGAACAAGGTCGCTAGTAAAAGTGTCCGCAGTACACCGTCCTGAACCACCTGTCGTCCTCGATAAAAAGAATTCTCAACTACAATGTCCCCAGTACACCGTCAGGAGCTGTAAGGTGTTCCACTACAGTGCTCATGTGACATTCATAACAGCGCTGGTCTGCGGGAGTCTGCTAACCAACGCTATTTTTTTTTTTCAGTGTGCTGATGATTTTAAGGTGTTCTTGAATTTTTGAGGATTACAAAAACTAGATTATGCCTTGAACAGTTATGATTATTATTTGCTGAAGGATGGCTACTGTATTAATACTGGCTATTGGATAATAGTGAGATTTCTTGCTGTTGAGACTGCTTCATGTTCACATATGAACTGATTTGTCTCTGACTTGTTACAAGCATTACAAAATACAGTTACACACGAGCTGGTGAAGGAATACAATTAAATCGCACATTCTCACTGTGTCTTATTTACTTATGAGACAAACTGAATAACCCTCGTTACGAGGCCAGCGATGAGCGGACGGAGTACAGTAGTAACTGATATTTACTGAACGCTTAGAGTCTTAGACCGTTAGCTGACGGAGGATCGAGCCTCCACCGTTCCTAGAGAATAATGACCCCTCAAATTCAGCATTTTAATGATAGTGAAGGACAACCTAGTACTGCAGGTCTGCTAGAAAAGTACCAGAGCTCGTAAAAGTGGTGATGGTGGGTGATGAAATCGATGGCGTCATCTAATTAGTGCCTCACTCAGGTGATAGCATCTACTTATTAACCCCCTCCCCCACACGTTCAAGTCCTCCTATTCGGCTCCCACCCTCTCCAAGGCCTCATTTATTCCCTCTTTAATTTCCCATCTCATCACCTACATACAAGTTGGCGACAAGTTTGACAACAGTCAGACTTCTTTCACTATTATCAACAATACCACCAGAACTACTAGTAAAAATGCCGCCACCATTACCAATACCAGCAGCAACAGCTAACACCAACAGCATCATTAGTCTAAGCCATGGCTCATGCAGCATTTCGTATGTACTGCCTTCCTGTTTCTCTATCTCAGCCACAGCTAAGGTACTGCCACTCATTTTTGGGGGGAAGTGAGGCATCTGGCCAAGTATATTCTCTCATCTAGGCCTCTGGCGAAGGTACGTTCCCCTTCGTGCCTCCTGTCTCACACTATTCAATTCGTCTGTACTTTAAAAGTACACAGCTATTATCTGTGATTCCTCATTCAGCAAGATAATCTCACATCCACTATCAATACCAGTACCACTGGCAATTCAACACGAATTACCATCACTACAAACACCCTCAACACCACCACCAGTATCACCAAAATACCAGCATAAACCCTGGTAACTGATACCGACCAATGGTTTAAAAACAACAAATACACTGGCATTTGTTAAAAAGTTTCGATCCTGGGACCTTTATCACTTCTGCTCAAGGCCCCAAGACCAAAACGTTTTCTAACAAGTCCTGGTGTTTGCTCAGGTCTTTTAAAACCATGACACAAGTGTTAGCGCCACCTCTGGGAGGATGCTTGAGTATACAACCGTTGTGCCATACCAGCAGAGATGGTCATACCATATTCGCTTCTGTAGCAGTGGCACTGTGCACGAGTGCCAGGCCAGACGCGTCCAACTTGAGTAAAAGCACAAAGTTTAAGCCTGATTTATCCATGGGGTATGCTCGAGGCTGCGGACACGTCTGACTGGCTATTTTCACTAAAGCCTCGCAAGATGTGAGCCTCAAGTCCAATCAAGAAGTAGGTAACACACAGAACAAAAAGGCACAATACCGTGACTAGAACAATACAAAAATAACCCGCACACAGGAGAAACTTAAGACGATGTTATGGTCCACTGACTAGTCACAGTGTGACTAGTCAGTGGTCTAAAGTCGGACCGAAACGTCGTCATAAGCGTCTCTTATGTGCGAGTTATTTATGTGTAGGCAACAGAAGCTGGCGTCCAAGTAAGGATAGTGACATGGAAAAGTGGCAGCCTTGGCCTACACCAGCCAGACAACGAAAGGTAAGGTAAAACCAAACACTGGATTATAGCAAACAAAAAGGCGATAAAAAGTATGAAAAGAAATTATGATAAAATATAAAATGAAAAAGGTTGAAAAAAAAAGTAAGGAAGAAAACACGGAATGAGGGCAGATTAAAAACCGGAAAAGCCGAAGATTCAGAAAACAACAAGCGAGAATAAGCATTAATAATGAGAAGTTTGGGTGATTGATTTGCCCAAACCATCACTGCAGTTCACTGATTACTCAACGATTTTTCACAAATTTAAGACTTTCTGCTATCATTAACACCTTGGTGCAATCGTGACTAAAGATTAAAAAAAAAAAATCCACCCCAAGTAATCAA